AATTTGGAAAAAGGTAAAACTATATCAAAGCTTATAAAAATGGCGAAACTATATTAAACACTTAATAAAAATTTAGCAAAACTAAAGGTTTAACCATTTTGCCAAATCCAAAATGAGTTTAAATAAGCAACCTTAATTTTGACATTGTTTTACTGATATTTGGTTATGATTTATTCTATTAATATGAATTGCAATTCTTTTCTATAAACCAGCATGATCAGAATTTCTTGCATATTTAAAATAATTTTGATATTGAGCTCTTAAGTTAATTAAGTTTTCACAATCATTTATATTTATATTTTACAAAATCATCATATTTGAAATATTTTGAAACGTATTTGTATATGCAATAAAAAAGATGGTTTTTGGTTTTATAATTTTACAAATAAAAATTGCTTCTGCATAATTATATATTAATTAAACTTAAATCGTGTTTAATACAATGATATATATCATTTAATCAATAATAATAAATTTTTATATTTGGTAATAAATTTATTAGTCAGGATATAGCGAAAGAAATTTGAGTGTATAACAAGTGATAAACTCTTGTATAATTTTATATTGATTGGACTTTAATTGTATTTAATATAATGATATATATCATTTAATTGATAATAATAAATCTCTATATTGGTAATAAATTTATTAGCATGAAGTGAAAGACTATATACTTTTATTATAAATTAATATATTAAAGATATTTGTAAAAAAAATATGGTTTTAGTTTTATATAATTAATTCTACACGTGATTCATTTAAAAAATCACTCCTGTATAATTATATATTAGTTAGACTTTAATTATATTTAATACGATGATATATATCATTTAATCGATAATAATAAATTTCTATATTGGTAATAAATTTATTAGCGAAAGAAATTCAAGTGGACAAACTCTTCTTTAAAATACAAAATTAATAATATCAATTTATACAAAAATATGGCTAGAATAGTTTGGACTTTTAATATAACAGAAGATTTAATTAATCTTCGTAATGAATATCATGAAAAATTTGAAAATACTCTAAATACTGAGTATGCTGCTATTTGAAAAGGATAACAAATAGTAAGAGTCAACTGTACCTATAAATTAAATTAAAATTATTAAATAAATATATTAAATATATTAAATAATAAAATATAATAATTTAAACTTTCTTACTTTTAAAATGTTTTCTTTTTCCTATTTTTACTAATAATAGATCTTTTATATAAATCTTATTTTTTAAAAATCCTACAAACTTTATTAATAGAAGTTTTATTTATATATATATTTTTTTTAGCAATCTTTTTTTATGTAAATCCTTCAACTTGATAATATATAATTTGTTACTTAAGTATTTATTTAAACTTTTTCTTATTTTAATAAAATTTTAAGAATCTTAAAGAAATTTATTTTAGTAAGTTATTATACTAAAGAATTCAAAGGAAAAGGATTAAATATAATTTATAAAACTTAGTCATTAGTCATTTTATAAACTTATTATTTGTAAATCTAAAAGGAATTCATAAGATTTATTATAAATTTTAAAGAAAATTCAAAAGAAATAAAAAATTTGCTAAAATTAGATGATTTGTATTATGATATTATATAATTGATGATCATTATATTGATAATTATTAATTATTTTTACTTATTATAATTTTATAATTAAGGATATATTTTTAATTTGGATTTAAATGATATAAGTATTGAATTACTTAAACTTTTATATTAATAGCTAATATAAGATAAAATTTATAAAGTAATTCAAATCATCTATATAAATACTAAAAAATTTGCATAATTAGTTGCTCAATTAAGCTCTGAAATAAACTTATGTCTAGAATTCTAAATGAATCAGGTTGAGTGAATTTTTATCAAATTCAATTTAACTTAAAAAGATTGAGTCAAATTAAAAATTTTTTAAATCTTGACTTGACTCAAGTTATATTTATAAATAAAGGTGTAATAAACAATTTGTTCTGATAGGATGATAAAAGATTGTTCTAAAGAAATGATAAAAATAATTGTTTTGATAGAACTAGTATTCTGCAAAATATCTGATTCATTCTAAATCTTATTCAGATCTGATGAATTAAATTTACCAAATTCAAATCATATTCAAATCTTAATCAATCTGTCAGATTTAAATCATATTTAGATTTAGATTTGATTCAATTTGATGGATTTGGATTTAAATTTAGATTTGATTTAAGATTCAGATTTGAATCCAATCCTATTTGTCAGGTTTAAAATTTACATATGCAAAATGATTTTCATACCGTTATATTTTTATTTATCCTACATTTTAGATATATCATTATTACTAAGGAACAGTATCATCGTTGTGAAGTCTGGAGTTTAAGATTACGTGAATTAATTATGTCAATATCATTGAATATGTCATTACATTGGGGTGTTCAGTCGACTAATTAAATCAAAACTATATATGGTATCATATAAAAATTTACTATTGAATTTTTTTTTTCATATTAAGCTATTTTATACTATAATTTAAGCTACTTTATAATAAATTTCATATTAAATCAATATATTTTCGCACTTTCATAACTTGGAATTCTACTTATCTTTCATATTCTAAATTTTGCGAAAGTATTATAAATTATTAACTCTTTCATGTATTAGAACGTTTTTTCCAAAAAGATACACAAAAGTCATAAAATAAACGTTAGAACTATTACTTTACAGAAAAAAAATTTTTCTGCAGTTTTTTCAAAAAAACGCTATATTTCGACTTTTTTAAAGTTATTCTATGTTCATTTAATCATTTGGTATTGCATAAAAACTAATACAGCATAACTTATCAAATTTTTAAAATTTTGGATTACTTACAGGAAATGTCACTAGTCTCAAAACAAGCCTGTAATTTGAAAAAAACACGTGAAATACGAGATCAAAAATTAAAAGATCAACTAGAAGCAAAGAAAAATGAAATGAAATGAAAAATTAATGAAGTAATAAATGAAATAGATGAATCAGAATTTAATAATGTATTAGAATCGATAAAAAAATAATATAGCAACATGATTCTAATACAGTAATATTTAGTGAAGATGATTCACAATGAATTAAATTAATGTCTACAATTCAACAATTATTTGATAAAGAGGTCTCGATAGCAAGTCATCTTATTGAAACTATATGTTATTCAAAAGGTTTAAATGCAAGCCAACTTCTATCACCATATCTTCAAAAGAAAGCATATAATTCTATTGCTGATAGCTATTATAAACACTAATTATCTAATGAATCTTTAAAAAATGCAAATTATAAGCTTGAGTTGGAAAATAAAAGGCTTGATCGTCAAATAAAAAAGTTAATTGGAAGGACAAATTCACTTGGAGCACAAGTAGGACATTTACATAATTAAAAATCACAGCACATCTCAGAAATTCACTCTCTAATTCAAAAATCTTCAATATCAGATGCTACATTTAAAAATAAAATAAAATCTCTCTTTATGATCAATAAACGAAATTATTCCTCCAATACAGTTTAGCTTGCAACTAGTATTACACAAATAGGAGAAACATCAATGCGCTCTTCAATTGAATGTACTAAATTAATTTACGAATTTTTAATTGGTAAGTCTCCACGAAAATGGTTATCAACCTCAACATTATATACATAGCATGAAGATGTCTCTCAATTATACATTAATCATCTTTCTCAAATTGCAAATGCACCAGTCTTTGGAATAATGGTTGATGAATCCACCTGTGAAGAAATAAAAAACTTTATTCTTTGCTATCAAGTATGGAGTGAAAAAGAACAAACTCCTATTGTTATTATGGCAAGTCTTAAAGATATTCCAAAATATAACAGTAAGATAGTTTCTAATATAGTTGCTCAATCAATTCAAGAAGATGGACTTGATACTACTAAATGTATCTTGTAGGTTACTGATAATACAGCATAAATGGCAAGTAATAAAAAGGGTGCTGTAGCTCTTTTTAATAAAAAAAACTGACACAAATGCTCTTCAAATTGGTTGTGAGCTTCATATTATACAAATTATACTTAATCACTTTGAACAAGAAACATTTGGCAAACTTTCCAATTTTACTGGATTTTCTCAGAAATTACATTCATATAATCTCTTATATTTGGCATGGCATTTACATGATAGCTATAATTCTAATAATAAAGACAAACCTTTAAATCTTAATGCATCAATAATTAAAGATTTATATGATAAATTAATGGGATTTCATTATAACCAGTATCAATTGCCCCTCCGTTCTCGTTGGGATTATGAATTACGAACAGCAAAACAATATTTAGATCGATGTGAAGCTCACATTTTATTTACTCGTTAGTTAATTATCCAGCTGGAAAATCATCATCATACACCAAAAGCATATTTAAATGATTAACGTCTTTTTGAATTATGGTTATCTAATTCAATACTTAATATTCAAATAAAATGCTTAGTAAATTTTGCAGAACATTT